AAATAAACTTCTCGGGGACACCTTTCAGAGAAAGGCAGCGCCAGAGTTTAGAGCGGTCGACTGAGTCGAAAGCCGCTTTCAGATCTAGGGAGACAGAGATGGTGGGTGTACGAAAAGAATGTCGATGCTCCATAATTTGGCGGAGTGAAGAATTGGTCGATACAACCTCAACCGGGCCTAAAACCAGCCTGGTTCTCGCGCGTGCACTGTTCACGTGTGGTAGACAATCAGCGGAGTGTGATGCCAGCGAGAAGTTTAGAGGCAATGTTGATTAAACTAATTACTCTATGGTTTTCGTAAGAGGATCTATCACCTCTCTTGTAAATCGGTATGATCACCGATTCACACTATTCACCTTATTTCCCGAGAAACCTCCATTTCAGATGGAGGACTAGCATCAACTGGGAGTGTCTGTTCAGTCGAGGTAGAGAGTGATAAGATAAGATGTCGATCGGGGCCAGTTGAACTGAGCCTTGAAGTGTTCAGCCAAGTGTTCAGGTCAAGACGGCGTTGATGATTGTGAATCAGTGTGCCATCGGATTCCTTAATTACCTCACTTCGCCCATTTTCCTAGGGCCCGTATTCCTAAGTAGATGGAAAAGGTTACGACTATTGCCAATAGCCGCAGCCTTCTCCATCTTTTTACACTTCTCTACCCACCACTTCGTATTATGTATCAGTTGGAAGTCTTCGACTATTCCCTGATGCAGCCGATTCTACCATTTCATGTGCTATCGTGACCACCAGTTATCGCGGTCTTTCTTGAGGCCCCTCGTGAGTTGACGTTGTAGACGCCACCTAACCGTGCCTTGATCTCGGGTGGTTGGGATGTGCCGCTTTTTCTCCATCAGTGCCACTGACTCATCAGATATCCAATGACTCGGACGGGCTACCGCTTCAGATCCATAAGCAACGTTCGCTGCGGAGTGAATTGCTCGGCTAATCTGATCCCGTTGTTCATTTACACTACCACCCCGCAGTGCGTTTAGCCCTTGCCCTAGTTCTGATTCAAAACGGGCACGAATGGCTGGGTCAGATAATTGATCAGTGAGTTGGAGAGTGAACTGCATCAAAACTAACGTATGATCAGATTCAACGCACGTGGTCCAATAAGATCTGCAGTTTAGTACTGAGCCACGCCAACGGTAGCTTACTGCTAGGTGGTCGATTCGAGTTAGCGTATTAGTTATATTGGCGCGCCACGTTTCTGTCCGTTGATAGCTGTGTCGGAATTTGGTGCTGACTGGGAACAGATGATGATCTGCGCAGAAGTGAATAACTCGATCGCCAATATCTATTCGCTGTCAGGGTAGAGCACAATGACCGCCTGGGCAAGCTGCCGATGCGCTCAGTTTTCCAACTTGAGCGTTGAACTCACCTGAGAGAACAACTAAATCAGAGCTTCGGCTCAACCAAATGAGTTTGGTGAGCTTATCATAAAACTCGTCCTTTATGCGTCAGAGCTGCAGTGGGTCGATGCATACACTGAAATGACGAATAAACACCTTTTGGTGTTGCTTCTCTTCCGGACGCTGATAGACTCTTGGAGCCGCATCGCACACAAGCGATTGTTGACAGGGATCCAATCGAGTAGTGCAGCTTTAGCTGTATTGTTCAGTACAATGCCCACATCACGCTGGCCTACTGAACGGGCTTCATCACCTGACGTGCGGAGGAAGAACCTCAAAGACAACCCCGGTGCACTTAAGTAGCATATTGTACTAAGAACCTGGATGTGTGTCCGACACGCAGGTGACATCAATCCCTAAAGAGTCCATTGTACGCGCCAGACACGCTTGTTGACCTACTTGGATCCTCACGTTGAAGGCTCCCAGATTCAGTGGCTGACGAGCCTTTAGAATCCCGAGGATTAGATTACCAGTTTCCATCACTGGACAGTAGGCCCTCGTGATTGACGCTTCCCCCATCTGCTGTTCATCACACGAAGATGTGCAATAAATGCTAGCAGACATTACTAAATCAATCACTCTGATGTAAATGAACGAAGATTATTGTCCTGTGATTTTCTTGGTTTATATTCTGGACTCATACGAATGATATATAAATATTTATGATAACCGCTGTTGACTGTTGAAAGGGATCCCCAACCCACGAAAAATAATGAAAAAATTTAGCGTGTAAAGTAGTGATGTGCATCTCAAAGTACTCTGGTGCACGTAAGAGACGCCTGCGAATACAATACAAAAAAACGAATGTAATATCACTTACATTCAGAGCCTCCTCCTTGTTTCCTTTGTGACGCTCCATGTCAGCCCACTTCTTCCAATAGCCGTAGCAGTAAGGAAAGTGGTCGAAGAAATTTTCAAATGCCTTTCGAGCATGATCTATATTTTGCTAAAAGGAATTAGCGAAATAGAACATATTTACTTGTTTTTCAACGAGATCCAGCAATGTAGTCCATACATTGAATTCCGTAGGGTTGTCCAAGGCTTTTTTTAAAAGTTTTGAAAACGACATTCTACAGAAGTGAGCGTGCCGCAAAAGGCCAAATCACGCGCCGCAGGTCTT